AAGCGCCACTCCTTCACTGCCCTCAGCATGACGCACAAGTCCTCGCAGGCCGCCAGCAACCGGCACTCCATGGAGATCAGCGCCCCCGTCCTCATCAGCTCCAGCGACCCGCGGGCAGCCGCCAGGATCGGGGACCTGACCCACCTCTCCTCCAGCGCCCCGGCACAGGTAAGGCCGGGTGGGGGTGGGTTTGGGGCGCCCTTGGTGGGTGGCGCGCCATTGCTGACCCTTGCGTGGAGCAGTTGCAGGGTGCTGTCGTCCCGACGTGACGGCACTTGGCATCAGTCTTTCCCATCTTTGTGTTAATCAGCGGGCAGGCATGCGGAGCCGGAGGATAAGACTAAACTTTATTCACAATTATGGAACACGTTTTAAAAAAAAGCAATCCTACAATGTGTTTGAAGGGTGAAGTAATGCAGCTTGTGTTGCATCACTTTCTGTCGTAGAAAGGAATGATTTTAAGTGATCCTGTTACCCTGAATTTATTTGCTACCCTGCAGGGTAGCAATGTCGGTATGAAATTCAGCGGACATAAATAAAATTTTTGGAGTAATTGTCTCCCTACAGATCACTGGAGGATAAGCTAATGTGCCATACTCCGACAAGGGTTGTACCCTGTGAGTAGCTGCTGTTCAGAAGCACCCAAGGAGGTTTTAAACTATCAGATGTGCTGAGGGTGCAGGACACTCTCCTTCCTCCTCTTGAGGGAGTGGGCAGAGGCACAGCCTCTTGGACATCACCACAGGTCCCCAAAGGAGCTTCTGAGCAGCCGCTTGTGGGGACCTGGCACAGGAGAAACAGGAGCCAAACTCACCAGGGATGCACTGAAACCCCTTGCAAATGCCCACTGTTTCTGTGGATTCCCTTATCCACAGTGGTAATTTGCACTTTGAAGGTGTCGAAGAGAATGAAGAATAATTATCGTCCCAAACCTCTTCTGCCTTGGCCTTCCTGCTCATTCATCTACACACCTGGTAGATTAGCAGCCCCAGGTTCCCTCTACAGACCAGCTCCTCGTCGTCATAGAATCACAGAATCATTAAGGTTGGAAAAGACCTCAAAGATCACGAAGTCAAACTGTCAACCCATCCCCGCCATGCCTACTAAACCATGCCCTAAAGTGCCATATCTACACGTTTTTTGAACACCTTCAGGAGTGGTGACTCCACCACTTCCCTGGGCAGCCTGTTCCAATGCTTCACAACTCTTTCAGTAAAGAAATTTTTCCTAATATCCAATCTAAAACTAGTGCCGAGATAACCTAAGCATAGCAGGGTCTTCCCACCCATTATTTCTCTGCTGAAAAAGGCTGCCCTTGCCCTTTTCCTCTCCCTAGCCATGCCTTCCTGCCCGTCATACCCGTGTCCCCATACAGGGACAAACGTGGATCACTTCCCACCCCTGCAGTGGCCCGAAGCAGGAAGCGATCCACGTTACAGCCACTGGTGTGCATGTAGATGGCTGGGCGAGGGCAGAGCACGCAGGGGGACAAGAAGCAAGCTGCAATTAATGCCTGTTTATGCCCATTTGCAGTGCTGGTGGGTCTCCCCTGTGGGGCCAGTGTGATGCCCCAGACCGTGGGGTCACTGTTGACACCTGTGCCGAACTGCTAGCCATGCCATGAGCACCCAAGCCCCTGCAGAGCAGGTGTGCAAGGACACTGGGGAAGGGAGGGTGCCTGCATGCATGCCGACGTGTACCACATGGCCAGCTGAAACAGCGTGCCAAGGGGTTGTTGCAGCCGCAGAGCAGCATGCCCTGCTCCTGCCTCAGCTGCTCACCTCCCTCCACTGCCCATCCCCATGTAGGAGCCAGAGAGGCAGCTCAGTCCAGCTGTAATTTAGCTCATTTTCTTCCACATGCGTTTTCCAGGCAGGGTGTCTGTGCCGTAAGGTTTTCACCCTCCTTTCAGCCCTCAGCAGGAGGATGAAGGTGAGGATGCGGCCCCTGCACAAAGCAGCGTGTGTGCCAAGATGTACTGGGACATCTGTGAAGCAGCACAAGCACTAGACATGAGTGAGGGTCCCAAGCTTGTCAAGTAAATGACACCCAGGTTTTTGGCACTCAGAGTGACATATTTGGACTTTACAGAGATGTGACAGACTGTGGCTTTTCTGTTCTTGTGTTAGTCAAGGGAAAAAACATGCACACCCTTTGCTAGAGCCATGTGAAGACTCATTTTAAGCTAGTAAACCACAAAAATTAGACCGTGAAGCAGAAAGTGCCTTGACTGTTCTCCCCCATTTTAACAGAACGACTGGCAAGCAAAACCTCACTCATTTCACAGACCGTTGTGACATTTGGGCACAAGTGGTAGGGGACAAGAAGGGTCCCATGTTTCCTGTAACAAGTTGTGGTTATCAAAATCCAGCCCACAGGAAGATTGGTTGGGTCCTTTGCAGCAGGTGGGAAGACGTGTAATCGGTGTCGTGGTCAGAAGCACAGCTAGGGCTGGGGTATAATGAAGCCAATCCTTTCTGCCCGTGGTGGGAACAGGTTTGCGGAGTGGTTCTTCTGCCTCAGGGCATAGAGCTGGTTTGCAGATAAGGCAGCTGAGCACATACCTGGATCACTGCTGGCCAAAACTGTCTTGGCCAAAATCCAGGGAGGGGAAAAGTCACCCCAAGTGCAGCATTTACATGTATGAATACATATTTCTGCTTTTGAGAGCCTTACTATTTGCTTTCTAGTTTGAGGGATTAAACATTTTCCTTTGCAAACTTTGCTAGGAATGTGGATCTGTTGGAAAATAGAGTGAGGCTGAAGTTCTCGCTATATTCTCGTAATTGTAGGAGCAGCCTTCAGAAAATGCCTCCCGTTGTCAGGCCAGCAATAAAATCACAAGAGCTACCAACATGAATTCACCTTCTTTTAGCTTTCTTAGTTAGGTCTACAAAGAGTCCAGAGCGCGCCTCTTACCAAATGCACATTAAAATTGTGCAGCTATATTTATATAACTAATAATCCCGTAGTAACAGGGGCTACATTTTAATTAAAAATGTCGGAAGTTCAGTTCCTTCTCTGCCATCTGCTGAGACCTGACATAGTTCTGAAACACTTAATGATGCTGCAGCCTTCGACAGAAAATCCATTCAGCATTTTTCTTTTATTCACGTGGCTGAACGCCAGCCAAAGTAGCATAAACAATGGGCCCCTGAGCTCTTACATCAGGTTGTTCAGGGAAGTGAGAATCTTGTGTTTGGATCGTTTTGTTCTGAACTGTGTTTGGCATTTTTAAGGTAAATGTCCTGCACGTCTTGTTCGGTGTTTGACATCTTGACAAGCTGCAAACTGACTCTACTGCTACTTCGGAAGTGCTCCGTGGCATTTCTGAAAGCATGGGCAGGTTGGTTGGAAGGCTGTGCATGTAACTGCCAAACTCACCAGTGAGCTCTGCTACAAGATGTCTCACTTTTTCTCTTCTCGCTTGAAGAGGAACCTCTCTGCCCTGCAAGTCGTCACAGCCCTTCAGTGGTTCTCTCTGTAACCATCTCAGGCCCCTGCTAGTTTGCAGCAGCAAATTCAGCCAAAGCATATTTCTTATAGAGGAAAACACAAATTCATAGTTTCAGTGCTGACTATCTAGCAAATTTATACCTTTCTTTTCAACATTTTGTCTTTGTATCACGTCCCTAAAATTTCCAGGCACTTTATCATTGTTTCTTTAACATATCTCCTTATAAAAAGAAATAAAGGAATTTTGTTCAGTTTAGTAGGTATGAACTTCTCTGGTACATATCAGGACTGGTATTTAGCTTGCAGGGGGGTTCTACATTTTGAAAAAGTTTGACAGAGTTTTCCTGTAGCTGTCCTTTGAACAAGCAGAATTCAATTACAGGCGTTATTGAATGGCATCCAGTCCCCTACCTTGGGCAACTGGCTGGTGCCCAGAAAAACAGTCTTCTTAAAACAAGCAGCCATCTTGCTTGTAGACCTGAGGTGCTTACATCTGGGGCACCTGCTTTCTCTCTGCTGACATGAGAAGAAACAGGGACTTCAAGGGCTTCTTACTGTAGGAACTTGAAATTTAGGTGCAAATTTTAGATGTTTCAATAAATGTGGTATATATACCACCCCTTAGAAGTGGTTTCATGCATGGTACTATATTCCTGCGGCTTTTGTCAATTTTTGTGAATTGAAACCAGACTTTCATGCCGAGCTGACATGGTTTTTGTTTTTATGAGTTGTTGGACTATTATAAGCCTCCTGCTTCTCCAGGAAGACACAGAGTTATGCATATTGAGCACTGACATGCAGACCAGAGTATGAAATTACCTGTTTTGAAAGTACTTCTGCATATTCTTAGTTTAATAATTGAAGACTACAGGCCTTCGATAACATGTTCATTGTTCTTTAAGCAGAACCAACTCAGCTGTTTCCCAAAAGCCAAGATGCATTTTGAAAGGAGTGATGGTCTAAAAAATATCTTCATTGACTGCAAACCTAGGGATGCTCAAAGGTAAAAGAATCAACTTCAAGACACCTCAGCTGAATAAAATAGTGACTGGAAGAGTACAATAGCCAGGATGAAAAGCATTTATTTTCAAAGAGGCAATGCTGGGATCCTCATTTCACTTGCAGCCAAATTTACTTCTTGTATGCTTTTTGTTGCATGCTGAGTATCACTCATTAAACACACGATCTCCATCTAAAAGGTAATAGTGTCTGTCCATCATGTAGAATGTCCTATCATGCTGACAAAATGGATTTTTACTGAAGATGTAAGTAGTGCTGCAGGCCTGTGATGGAGTCAAAGCTGAATTAGGTTACGGGTGCAGAGGAGCAGTTCGTAACTGAGACTCCCTGGAGAGCAGGGAAGGTCCCCCTGGACAGTAATCGTGCCTAGACCTCAGATGGCTCATCTTGCTTCCATTTTCACCCCTTATGAATTATTCTTCCCTGCTATTTGGGAAGGTCATAAGTCAGTACTGCTCCAAATCCCCTGGCTTTTGACAGAAAGTGCATCTCATGAATAATAAAATGTGGCTTTGTCCACACCAGGATAACAGCTGAGTGAGGAAGAAAGGGTCCTCCCCACAGAAGGAACCTCTATGTATGTTTTGAACAACGTGTCTCCATGCACATGTCCATTTGCATCTGTGAGTGCTAGCACAGGCTCCTAACCAGAGGCCACGTGTTCAGGAAAAGCGGAGAACAATGTCTTGCAC